CCAAATCTAGACTTACAACAAGGAATGGATGAACAAGAAAGAACCCAACTAAACAAGAGCAACTGTAATCCCCACCAGCCCTCAACTCTTTTATGCATGCTGCTCTCTACATTCCTTCTGCCATGGCTGGTTTATTCTGACTCAAAATTGAAGTGGCTCACATTCCTCCACACACCAAATATAAACATAGCAGGAAATGGCAGATGAACCACTCCTGATTAAGATAATTAATCTCTGCTTGCTGTCTTTCCTCCCCAAAACTTTTCCCTCCTATCCATTGTAGTAGTTGAGAGGGGGTTTTGAATGTCTTCAAAATGTTCACCAGAACCAAATGATTAGCTGTTTGGGAGACAGCTCCTCTCCTTTCTACACCTTTTGTTTTCTCATCAGCCCCTCACTCACACCATGTCCTCAACTCGTTCTCCCTCTCACCTTCTCAGGAGCATTGATGACACCAGTGTTGTACCCAAACTGGAGAGATCCAATGGCAGCAATGGAAACAGCATAGAGAAGGGGTGCTGTGACTTTCTGCAGAAGGGAAGAAAAAAACATTTAATGAATGTAGCTATTAATGTTTCTGCAGAAGGGAAGAAAAAAACATTTAATGTAGCTATTAATGCTTTGGGCAGTGAATGAGCTTTTATCCAGCAAGGATGGAAATCAGTAACTGAGACACTAGGGAGACCCAACTGTAAAAAAGGAAAAAGTTATGTGACTAGAAGTAGAAGGGCCTGTCAGGACCTCCCCTTTATTATCTCTTGACCTCCATCAACTGTTCTCAGCTCATTAGTAATGAATACACTGGCTGCATTAGTGGCTGTTATTTTGGGTTGATCTGCTTTACAGAAAAGCTTTTGCTGATCTCTGGCATGGCATCAAACAAGGGTCTAGCTCTTCCCCATGCCAACTGACAAGTTCCCATAAATCAAGCCTCAGATCTGCCCATGAGCTATACTGACAGTCACTCCTAACAGTGAAAACACACACTCTTCAGCAACAGGCCTGCTTTTCCCAGGCTAAAGCTTCCCAATTCCACCCCAGGGCACCTGGCACAGCAGCCTGCCTCACAGAGGCAACAGCAATGCTGCCAACCTTCCTGGTTTTTTTCCCTGATGCTGTGGCAATACTTGGTGCTCTAAATGAAGCACAGCGCCTGGAATCCAAGCCTGTGTAAATCTATATTTTAAAAAACACTTAGCCACCAGAAGAAGCTTGAACAGCCACCCTCAGAAATCCCACAAACTGAGAAATGTAAGTGTCATTGAAAACCACCTGACATTTCCTACATTTTTAAAGCTTGTGGTACTTTATCAAGCTCTGTGTTAGGGAGGCAGGGTGGAGCAGGTGACTCAGGAGCTGGCACTTAGGCCGACCTGTGCTTGAGTTAGCACAATTTGGAAATATTAGGTTTCTGTCTTGAAAGAGATTGGAAGCTTTTTCAAAATTATTAACAATCCCTTTTCCAAGGATTTTCAGTTATTGTCCCAAGGCTGGCAGGGGAAAGAAAAGTACTCCATGGGGCCTACTGTCACAGCTCTTCCAGTCTCAATTCCCAGCTCAGCTCCAGGAATAGGAACTCCCAAGGCTGCTCAAAATTTTTGCCCCTTGTCATCTTTCAGTGCTTACAACCACCTTTATCATAGCTTGCACAACCTTCACACAGGCACCAGTTCAGCCCCAGCAAACAGAAACTGGGGAAATCACTCTCTGGCATGGTTTCCCCCACCTACATCACATCCATGCCTCAGGCCTGAGCTTTCTTCCTGCCGAGCAAGCTCAGTGATGGCGACAAACAGGACAAGGCCCTTTCTTGTAGGGAGGCAGATGACTCCCAAGGTGTGGTTCACACCTGAGCACACCCTAGGCAGCCCAGACTGCCTTTTCCCTGGCACCCTGTGACTGCTCCCCTCATTTTTGTTGCAATGAAGTTTGGCACAGAACCACAAGGGCACAGCTCATTCAAAGCAGCAAGATGCCTGTAAAAAGGCATTAAGACATCTAAGCAATTTTAGGACTCCAGGCCAGGTCATCCCTAGTTAACAGGTACAGCAAAGCTGAGGACAAAACCCAGCTCTCCACGTTTTCAACCCACCTTTCCCCACATGGCTCTGCTTTGTCATGGCATGGAGTGGTCACAGCTGGCTTTTCCTTCTGGGTGCAGCAGGGACCACAGGGTTCCTGCTTTGCAGATACCCCTTAGGTACACGATACTCACATAAGCTATAAGGAGGTTAGTTCTGCCATCTTCCATACTCCTGCCTGCTCTTTCTCTCCTCCCCCGTCTCACACTACCTAGACATCACATGGCCTGACCATCATCTAATTAGTGTATGGATCATTTGTTACTGCTGGAAGGGCCTCACTTCCCAAAAGGCAAACAAGGAGCTCAGAAATAGTACAGCTACACACCCCACACCCCCCCCAAGACTCAAGGCTGAGGCCTGTGCAGCAGCAAGGAATCCAAACCACCACCCCTCCCTCTGACCACAAGCACCAGCAGCGCTCATTGCCCAGGAGATGCTTCTCCCCGCCGCGCTGCCTGCTAAACCCCAGGGCCTCCTGCGAGCGACCCTGGCCAGCTGCTCCCCTTCCCTCCGCCGCCTCTCCTCAC